TGACGCGAATTCCAAACTAGAGGTACTGTGAGTACTGAGCAGAGCTCACAAAATGATACCCCCGCCTCCCGTATGATTAAAATGATTGACAAAGTCTACTTCGAATGTTTTGAACATTATGGGGACCCGATATAAGTGTCCGATCAAAAACTAAACTAGGAGGTCACAATGGCACTATGTAATAAAGATTCTGTGCAAGTATCAATCAATTAGGAGGAGTTGCGGATAAGAAATGGACACCCCTCAATATTATAGAAAGAATGGCAGTGTTTTTTGTTTTGCTATGGGAGACCCGATATAAGTATCCGATCAAAAAGTAAAATAGGAGCTAGGTGTACAATGGCACTATGTAACAAAGATTCTGTGAAAGTATTAAATTTTATTCAATGCTATAAGAGGAATTACGGTTAATACCTCAAAGCGTAACAGACGGACGGACGTCAATAACAGCTGGACGGACACCTCCATCACTATACATCCCCCGGTTTTCAAGCGGGTGTTATAAAAAATAAATAATCGATTTACTATAGTATATATTTTTAAAATTCTTTTATTAAATATTTTTTAATAAAACTTATTTTAAACATTCTTCCAAAAGCTATATTAATTTCTAATGGACTCGAAGTAAGACTAAGGAAAGATTTGCAAGAATCTATGACATCACACAAAGGTGGAATGAAAAATGTATTTTTCAATTTTTGACTTTGAGACAATTATATCACAGCGTATAAAGGTGTATACATATTTGCCGTATTTCCCCCTGAAACATGTTGATGTTCAAAGACAAGGAAGTTTTAGTACACAGGGATCACTATTGTTTATTGCATTAATAAAATACATGTAAATTATGTATTCAATAACTTTATCTTGGTCTAATATAATGTTAACAATGTTAAATCTATTTGAAATTGTTGCGTTGACGTTAGATTCACATTCTATATAAGGGCAGATAACTTTAACTGCGCATAGCAGAGCTCTTCAGTGCGCAGTGTTTACAGCGTCCTTAATAGAGTTGTCACTTTTTTCTCAAAGTTTTATTTTGATTTGGTATACCGCGTGGAAAAGAGGGAAATGCCAGGTGGGATTAAATTATTTACAACATCACGGATTACACAACTTTCTGTCTGTAGTCTTGTGCTGAAGGGAATTTAAGGGTGCTAAAGATGCCTACCCCTTTCTCTCTTTCGATAACGAACAGATAAATATATAATTAAAGGTATTTTAAGCTGTTTGTTATTGCACTTGTTCTCGGAATCATGATTATGACAATGATCGTTTTGCGCAATCGGTGGCTATCAGAGACCACTGTACTTATTGAATAGGAAAAAAAAGCTTAAATGAGCAAATATGCTTGTCATTTAACAGTGGGCCGCAAATTAAATCCAAAAATCCAGTGGCACATAAACTATCTAGTAATTTAAAACTTATGAATAGTATTATATATCTATTTGACCCACAATCATTGGATTTATGAACTAATTTAAATTCAAACTCCTCAATGCATTCAAAGGGTCAATGAATTCTTAAACTTAAAAGAAAAACAGATTAGGGGGATATCAGGTTTCGTTCGGGTAGGACTAGACAAGACAATTTAAAATAGCCGCAAACTTAAGATTTGTATTATGTTAGTTTGGATACTATATCTTTATATCTTGTTTATTTAACGAATTGAGCAAATTTACTCGGATTTTGACTTTAAATTATTTGATGGATGAACCTACCTGAGACATAGCAAAACCACTAGTTAATTTCCCACGTAAAGCACCACGAATTCTAGTCCATGCTTTGTTTGTTTACTCGATAGTGATATAAATAAAAGTCAAATTGCACATAATGAAAGAATTTAAATCTAGGTAGGGCTTAAAGATAACGTGTGGTAAAAGTACTCCGGTATTTCGAAATAAAACCCTCATGAAATAAATTCAGTGTGTTACATAGGACAATACCACCCTCCCCGTCTTCACTTCCCCTAAAAAAAAACAAGCAAACAAACAAAAAAACCTTCAAACAAACAAAAAAACCCTTACCTGTCCGTCCTTTGTTTTCCGTGTTTTAACGTCAGTCATTTTGAGGTAGATAAGTTTTATTTCCTTAAAGGAATTTCTTTTTAAACAAGTTGACTTCCATTGTGTTTAAAAAAAAAAAAAACAAGTAACCCACAGATATCACTACAGTGAATACACTTTAATAATGAAAAACTTCCAAACGTTAAAAATAAATCCAATTTCCACATACACCTTTGGTCGTCCACACAGTTGTAATTTATAGCCACTGACTAGCTTTAAAATCTGCCGATCTGATCAGTGCTTGCTGATCCGTGAGTGATTATTCAATAATAGGTCGGGTGAGATTTTTGACTGGGGGAGATAACTCGAGACTGGCTAATGCCCTGTGATCTTACAGTAAGGTGATTTCGGTTCGCACATACGCCCGATTTTGATCACGTGAACAGGGGATAATTTATACGTACGTGCGAATAATATTATAAAACTACAATAAACGTTTAGTTGTTTTTTTTTAATTATAAATGCTTGTACTCTTGAGACTGCATATACATCTTGGACAATCTTCATCGTTGGTTAAAATAAAATGCACTTTTTAAAAAAAAAAATATTTAAACATGTAATTCTTTATGTTTACTATTTGTAAAAATTCAGAACATTGCCAGGGGTGGGTAAAGCTTCATTTTGTTGAAGACTTTGGGCCATGAGTCCCGTTGACTAGACAAGATAATACAATAATCTACAATTTGTCTCTCTGTTGCGTGGGTTTACTATACGGAACCATCTGACACTACCCATGTAATTGCTTTACACAAAGAAATGAATGCATAATGAGTTATGGGTATTGATAAATCGCAGCCGTTGATTAAGTATTAGCTAAAATAAACACGGACTGCCGTTCATTTACAAAACCATGTGCTATTGTTTATAGCAAAAACCTTAAAGGTGAAGCATGTGGCCATTAAGACTGGAATCTAATTGATTCTGAACATTTTCTTCTGTGCAGACAGATAAATAACAGCGCTTTGTGAATGCAGGATAAACTTTTGTAATCGAATTTATTTCAGGATTGCGTTTGGGGTGTAAAACTCATTTGTTAAATGTCGGATAAGTCAAGACGAGATGACTTCAGTACCCCCTGAATTGGATCAACTGCACGCACCCTAAGTTAATATCAGGACCAGATATATTTTTAGCTAAGACTAATCATAAGGAAAGTGTAGATATGAAATATCTATGCTAATAATTTTGCCAGGTTCGATAATAGGCCATTTTTCTTTTAGCTATCCCGGATATGACGTGCATGTTAATACCGACGCTCCACATAATCATGCATTTGATTTTTAGATATTCATTATAATTTATATTCAGATGACTTAAAAATTGTTAAAATAATTTCCATGTATTATACACATATTACATATACGTAGAACCAAGTATCTCTGCTAAATAAAACCTACTGGAATTTACATGTAAGTCGTGAAAGGTCATTTATCGCACTACTTCTGTTGTTATTAATTCCAATATTTGTGACAAAGGAGGAAATATCGACAGTATGGACGGAGCCAGCGGCACAGGGGCCCGGATATCTCCAGCACCCTTGGGGGATTTTCAATATTTATAAATTTACATAGCAAAATACAGTACTCTGGACAACCTCTTAAGACCTTTGAAAAGGATCTGAGCCCCCTCCACCCTTTACGTAACAGTGTTTTTTTTTGGGGGGATGGGTTAGAAATTTTGACTTGATATAGATCCTCCCTTTTTAAAATAAACAAATAATCCCTGGATTCACCCTTAAAGATAAAAAAACAAAGGTCACTGAAAGGACGTTTCGTGCAATATGTTGGTTCCATTTTACAATTTTAGCATCAAACTTATCGGTGATTTCAAAACGATACTCGCAATATGGGTGATTTTGGTATGAATCAAAAGGTTTTGAATAGAACTACCCGATTTCAGTCAGAAAATAAAATTTAAATAGATTTCTTGCAAAAAATAGAATTTTACAGCGCAAATCAACCATATTTTAAACATGTAACGGGTTACATTTTTAAACAGGGATCGCGCATTTTTCTTGGTTAGAGTATTCAAAAATGAATCTAGAGTTCTTCTTTTTCTCACAAAACAAGAACAATCCATGTCTTTAGTGATGTCGTTAACGATTTTGCATTCAATGGTGGCAAGAAAAGAGAAATCCATAGTTTTTACGGAAAAAGAATCTGTAAAGATCCTAAAGATCAAACATTGTTGAACTCATAGAAGTTATATGTTCACCTATACACAAGACCTTCCTAGTGAACGTAACTTTTTTCTTTAACCTTCAAAAATAGATCAAAAACTTCCTATATGAAATTAATACAATTGGTTATGAAAAATTATGTTCACCAGCGTCGACCTTCCACGTGAACGTAACATTTATTATTTTTTTCACATATGACTAAAAAAGGTCAAGAAATTCCATATTAATCCAACTGGTTATGTTTCATTTGAATCCTGCATAAGTCTCCCCCTGCTTTCGGCGAGGACTTCAACAAAGGTAAACAAGAAAGATGGCAAGGTTCGCTTAAGCAGCTTGTATCCTTTAATCATTGAATTATATAAGAAAACAATTATTTTTTTTTAAAGATAATACGATGATTAAACAATCCTCGAAGTATAATATTCATCCTTCAGACTCGCTGACTACTCCTGGTAGCTAAATAATCGTATTGACTGAAAAAGCAATAATTGTATAATTTAGCGTCACGTACTCCTATTTAACCAAAACAGAAAGGAAACGCAAAAAAGGCTTTATCGCAAAAGATTTTACGTTAAAAAGAAATGTTATTATATTAACCGGTAATATTATAATACCTGTATTCTCGACTCCTTATGACAGGATATGTTTACCACAACTATAGTAACGGGTTCATACACAGAAGAAAACTCGTGAAACACTTAAAAAAAAGAACGACTTTATTACAATGTAAACTCATATAATATAAAACATATCATGCAGTATTATGAATAAATGTTAATATCTATAGCCTCGACTCCGTATGGACCGACATAAACATACCCCGAATATGACTCCAAAAAGCTGCAAAAGAGAAATAAAAACAAGAATTACTGAGGTCAAGTCCGTAATTAGACTCTCAGATTGATCAGAGATAACTTCAGACTGGTAATAGTGTGGAGTTACCATGACAACAATGGCGGCTATTGCAATTCCACCAATCATAAGGGCGTGGCCTTGAATGTAGTGAACAATTTCGTCATAACAACCCTGAAAAAAGTATTGGATTCTGTTTATTAAATATTAGAAAACACAGAACAGCATTTTATAATATTTCAGTTGAATGAAATATGGAGATAACGAACAGTAATCAAGCTCAAATGTCCATTGAAACAATATACTTGAGTCTTTGGATGTAAAATTAGAAGTTTTACCGTGTGATACATATTAGGGTTTTACAGTGATACATCTTAGGGTTTTACCGTGTGATACATCTTAGGGTTTTACCGTGTAATACATGTTAGAGTTTTACCGTGTGATACATGTTAGGGTTTTACCGTGTAATACATGTTAGAGTTTTACCGTGTGATACATGTTAGGGTTTTTCCTATAGGGACCGACAAACGGTGGGTCATAATTTGGAGGGCCCTCGAAGGAGGAGACTCTGTTACACATCGCTAGATCACCATCCGGGTTACAACAGCTCTCCGGGACTAACTGACTATCTTGAGGGAAAGAAAAATCAGACAATTATTTGAAACGCAAAAAAAGTAAAATAACATGAACAAATGTAAACAATGACTTTCTTATATTTTTCGAATGACTTCGTCAAATCAATTACATATAAACTGTTCAGATAAACGTTTTAGTTTGAAAAAACTCACGAAGTAATAAAGCTAAAATGCAAATTTATAATATCAACATTAATGTCGTTGTCAAATCTTATAAATTAATAAATTTTGCAAATAAACTCCGATACGGGTGCACCAGAGTTCTTACTTTCTCCTCTAACAATACACTGTATACAAGATGATGTCCGTAAACTATATTTAGATTTCACTCGCATAGTCAGTATCGTACATAAAATTAAAAGTCTACTTTTATTTTCTATAAACAGCCATGAAATAGCAAAAACATGAGTACGGTGGCGTTTCCGGTTGGCGGATCTAAGATACTGGCAATTTTTAATGAAACTGACAACAAGCAATCATTTATTTATTTAATTAAACGTCATCACTGAATTATTCAATCAAAACTTGATTTAAATGATATAAAAGAAATAAGTTGTGATAACCGATTAAAGAGGGAAATATGCAAATTATTTCCGTCATTCACCGATCTTAATATTGAGGGAAGCTTCTAGAACATCATATAGCATCGAGCCCGATGTTAAAAAGAAAATCGAGGCGATCAATTAAAACAAGAGGCCCATGGGCCACATCGCTCACCTGAGTAACTTTGGCCATGCTGTTCATTACCAGACTCCCCCCTTGTAATACCTATTGTGGCCCCACCCTCCCCCCAGGGACCATGATTTGAACAATTTAGAATCTACACTACCCCAGGATGCTTTCACATAAGTTTCAGTTTTTCTGGTCCAGTGGTTCTTGAGAAGAAGATTTTTTAATGACCCCACCCTATTTTTGTCTTCTCTTGATTATCTCCCCTTGTGAGGATTTTTAAAGACTTTTCCTATATATTTAATGTAAAACTTGGGATTCCCCCTATTGTGGCCCCGCCCTATCCCCTGGATCATGATTTGAACAATTTAGAGTGTACACTACTTGAGGATGCTTCCACATAAGTTTCAGCTTTTCTGGCCCAGTGGTTCTTGAGAAGAAGATTTTTAAAGATTTTTTCCTATATATTTCAATGTAAAACTTGGATTTCCTATTGTGGCCCCGCCCTACCCCCGGGGGTCATGATTCAAACAATTTAGAATCTACACTACCCCAGGATGCTTCCACATAAGTTTCAGCTTTTCTGGCCCAGTGGTTCTTGAGAAGAAGATTTTTAAAGATTTTTCCTATATATTTCAATGTAAAACTTGTATTTCCTATTGTGGCCCCGCCCTACCCCCCGGGGTCATGATTTGAACAATTTAGAATCTACACTACCCCAGGATGCTTCCACATAAGTTTCAGCTTTTCTGGCCCAGTGGTTCTTGAGAAGAAGATTTTAAAAGATTTTTCCTATATATATTTCAATGTAAAACTTGGATTACCTATTGTGGCCCCGCCCTACCCCCGGGGGTCATGATTTAAACAATTTAGAATCTACACTACCCAAGGATGCTTCCACATAAGTTTCAGCTTTTCTGGCCCAGTGGTTCTTGAGAAGAAGTTTTTTAAAGATTTTTCCTATATATTTTAATGTAAAACTTGTATTTCCTATTGTGGCCCCGCCCTACCCCCGGGGGTCATGATTTAAACAAATTAGAATCTACCCTACCCCAGGATGCTTCCACATAAGTTTCAGCTTTTCTGGCCCAGTGGTTCTTGAGAAGAAGATTTTTAAAGATTTTTTCCTATATATTTCAATGTAAAACTTGGATTTCCTATTGTGGCCCCGCCCTACCCCCGGGGGTCATGATTTGAACAATTTAGAATCTACACTACCCCAGGATGCTTCCACATAAGTTTCAGCTTTTCTGGCCCAGTGGTTCTTGAGAAGAAGATTTTTAAAGATTTTTCCTATATATTTCAATTTAAAACTTGGATTCCCTATTGTGGCCCCGCCCTACCCCCGGGGGTCATGATTTTTACAATATAGAATCTACACTATCCCAGGATGCTTCCACATAAGTTTCAGCTTTTCTGGCCCAGTGGTTCTTGAGAAGAAGATTTTTAAAGATTTTTCCTATATATTTCTATGTAAAACATTGATTCCACATTGTGGCCCCGCCCTACCCCCGGGGGTCATGATTTGAACAATTAGAATCTACACTACCCCAGGATGCTTCCATATAAGTTTCAGCATTACTGGCCCTGTGGTTCTTGAGAAGAAGATTTTTTAATGACCCCACCCTATTTTTGTCTTCTCTTGATTATCTCCCCTTGTGAGGGGACTTGGCCCTTCATTTTAACAATTTAAATTTCCCTTTACCCAAGGATGCTTTGTACCAAGTTTGGTCAAAATTGGCCCAGTGGTTCTTGAGAAGAAGTCAAAAATGTGAAAAGTTTACAGACGGACGGACAGACAGACAGACGGACAGACGGACGGACGGACGACGGACAAAATGTGATCAGAAAAGCTCACTTGAGCCTTCGGCTCAGGTGAGCTAAAAAACAAAACTTTTGTATGAATGGTCATTGAAATAATGGTAAATAATTCATAACACTATAAGTTTTGAATATATTTATATATCGAAAGACTATTTCATGTATGTAGTAGGTTTTTCTAATAAATTTATCGGTAAAATTATATATACATGTATTCCTTACTGAGAGCATCGTGGCAACGAACCCGAAGTACAATTTGTACTTCGTAGTAAACTTGCTAACATTAAAAGAGAAAATTAATGAATAATGTATTGTTCAAATACAATTAAAGCTGTGTAAAATGTTGTGCTTTAATCAATACATTTCATTTTTTTTTTCTGAATACAGTCTTTTGTATCAAATACGAGTTCGGCTTATTCATAGGGCGTTAAAAACTAATTTTTACACAGACCCGGTACTTGGGTCTTGGTTTATAAATGTATGTATGTACCCTATTGATATATATATATATAAAAAGTAAACTACATTTTTTAGGTATAAATAAGGTACATACATAATTATAATCCAAGACCCAAGTATGTGTGAATTGTCCCCCCCCCCCCCCCCGAAAAAAAAATCATCCAGTTTATGAGTAAAATGTGCATATTCGCTACTTTTATCCTTGACGGAAATGAAATAAGAGCATCTGAAGTACAATATCCATAACATAGTATATTACAGGTTTCACAATAAACGCCAATTAACGAAATTGTTATTTTTTCAAGTTTTTACAGAAAAGGGGGGGGGTGGAGACATTCATCTACTTCATGCGGGATTTTGAACAAAGTGTTTCCTCCTGCTATAAGCCTGTAGGCTGTCAGTAAAAACTACAATTATATATTTTCTGTCGTTAGTGGTATAAATTCAATTCCCCGCGCTTGCGCGGGATTTCATCTAGTTCATTCAAAATAGACTAGCAGTAGTTACACATGTTCCCGAATGCTAACAGACTGTGATATTTCCATAATAAATACTCTTGGTTTCAGACTAAACACGTCAATATTCTTACCGGATTCTTGGGTTCTGAACCATTCTGACTTTATTTTGTAGATTGCCCAGGAGTCTGTGGAGTTGGCGTCTCCTGAGACACCGCAACACTTCAACTGCACAAAAAGAGAAGAATTAAAGACAATCACAGAAATACCGCAACACTTCAACTGCACAAAAAGACCAGAATTAAAGAAAATATCAGAAATACTTCAACTGCACAAAAGACCAAAATTAAAGAAAATATCAGAAATACCGCAACGCTTCAACTGCACAAAAGACCAGAATTAAAGACAATATCAGAAATACCGCAACGCTTCAACTGCATAAAAAGGACCAGAATTAAAGACAATCACAGAAATACTGCAACACTTCAACTGCACAAAATACCAGAATTAAAGACAATATCAGAAATACCACAACCCTTCAACTGCACAAAAGACCAGAATTAAACACAATATCAGAGATAACGCAACACTTCAACTTCACAAAAGACCAGAATTAAAGACAATATCAGAAATACCGCAACACTTCAACTGCACAAAAGACCAGAATTAAAGACAATCACAGAAATACCGCAAGAATTCAACTGCACAAAATACCAGAATTAAAGACAATCACAGAAATACCGCAACGATTCAACTGCACAAAAGACCAGAATTAAAGACAATCACAGAAATACCGCAACGATTCAACTGCACAAAGGGACCAGAATTAAAGACAATATCAGAAATACCGCAACACTTCAACTGCACAAAAGACCAGAATTATAGACAATCACAGAAATACCACAACACTTAAACTGCACTAAAAGATCAGAATTAAAGACAATATCAAAGATACCGCAACACTTCAACTGCACAAAAATACCAGAATTAAAGACAATCACAGAAATACCGCAACACTTCAACTGCACAAAAGACCAGAATTAAAGACAATCACAGAAATACCGCAACAATTCAACTGCACAAAGGGACCAGAATTGAAGACAATATCAGAAATACCGCAACACTTCAACTGCACTAAAAGATCAGAATTAAGGACAATCACAGAAATACCGCAACACTTCAACTGCACAAAAGACTAAAATTATAGAAAATATCAGAAATACCGCAACATTTCAACTGCACAAAAGACCAGAATTAAAGACAATCACAGAAATACCGTAACACTTCAACTGCACAAAAGACCAGAATTAAAGACATTATCAGAGAGAAAGTCTGTAATTAACACTGTACAACTAAAAGTCACTAGAAAAGACCTCTCCTGTACAAAATAGTACTGTCTGAGAGAGTGAACAAACCAAATGATGATTTTATATGCAAAAGTCGAATAAAGAATAAACCAAGAATAATCAAAATTAGTCTCTGTGAACCTCTTATCTTTGACTTATTCATCTGGGCTCACAACCATTCTTCTTTGAATTTTGTAGGAAGTAGGAACATTTATTTATATAGCTGTTTTGTGGTCAATGCAGTTGCAGTTGAAATTAACACTGTGCCTTTTTATGGTTTCTAAAATGTTGGATTTCAGCTAAAAATCATTCAATCATATAATAAATTATATCTTTAAGCAACTTTTAAGTGTATGTGTATAATATTATTTCCTTTGTGTTTGTATCGGTAGTAAACTAGAAAGATCGTTCATCAAATTTGAAAACCGATTCAGGACTACGCCTTCCCTTTTACCAGGAGAGCGCTATTACATGTAGTGCTGCTGCTTATTTTCATATCGTTTTTGAAACTGTATTAAACTTTAATGAAATGCTGTTTAAACCAAACAGTTACATCATGTTTTAGACAAAAAATAGAATTTAAATTTTTAAACAGTTGCTCTGTCCATCGAAATAGAAAATCAATGCAGAGAATGTTAGATTCGGTCACATGATATTTTAGAAGGATTAACATTCTGAATTATCTAGCAGGTTAGTAATTGATAATTTGCACAGTTCTTAGAAATATGAATTTATACGAAAAATTTACTAGATTGAAAGTCAACGTTCCCGGATAAGACTAAAATGTTGGAGATATATAAAACTTGTTAAAGTTTACATGATTGTTTTTGTGACCGTTGCTACAAAACAAGTTATTTGCCCTTGATTTTGTTTTTGGTTTTTGTTGAAATAATAATAAAATATACTGGTAAATAAATAGTACGCTGTAAACTGTGTCATAATAAAGGTAAAAATCCGTAGGAGATCATCGCTTCCAATCTCATTTTCAGCTCACTTGAGTTGAAAGCCCGTGAGCTTTTCTGGTCACTCGTTGTCCGGCAATCGTCCATCCTCTATCTGTCTGTCTGTCCGCCCGTTAGTAAAGTTTCAATATTTTGAACTTCTACTCAAGAACTACTAGACCAATTTTAAGTAAAGTTGGCACAAAGCATTCTTGGGTAAGCGGGTTCTAAGTTCTTAAATGAAGGGCAAAGGTCTCTTCCAAGGGGAGATTATCATTCAAGACAAGGCAAAATTAGGGTGGGGTCATCAAAACATCTTCTCAAGAACCAACGGGCCAGAAAGGGTGGAATTTATGTGGAAGCTTCCTGAGGTAGTATAGATTCTAAATTGTTTAAATCATGGCTCCCAGGGGAAGTTTGGGGACATTTTTTTTGGGGGGGGGGGGGGATTGAACGTTTTTGAAAGTAATTTGTCTCTTTCCAAATTAATTTCTCAATATAGTATTTTTTTTCTTCGAAAATTTAATTGTTTTAAACAAAGAGAATCCAGGACACCTACATATCTATATATTCAGTCCTCGAGCGCAAAAAAAATACTTATAATAATAATAATAAAAAATAAAATCCCCCCTTTGTAGTTTGTACATAGTCACCTAGATATCCAGTTCCAGTATGAATGCTTTAAAAGGGAAACTTTATGGAAACACATATTTGTTTTGGTGGGAAGGGAGGATACCCTGGGCTTACTTTCATATAAATCTTAGGTGTTCATTGGTGCTACTTTGCATGTGCGCTTTTCCTGTAATCATCACATTGTCTGACATATACATCGTGTACCTGCTTCTGTAGGAAATCCCACATTTCCGTCACCACACGATTTTCTGGATCTTGTTGGTTCACTCCGTACTTCTCTATCAAGACAGTCTTCATCGATTCCTTCGTCTGATGTGACGTCTACAATATAGAGAGATGATTTAGAGCAATTAACTGTCATGTACAAAGTTAAATGGAACAAATTCTAAATTTGGTAGAGGAAAGTATGTCTTATATAGACTTTTTAGCACACTTATCGAAAAGCTGAGGAGTGGGTTTTATTACAAATACTCAAAATATAATACATGTATACAAATTTAAGTCCTTGCATACTATAAAAAAACTGCCTCGTTTTTTAAAAATTATTTCAGCTTGAAATAAAAAAAATGCTTCGAAAATTTTCAGTTTTAATTATTCTACTTGAGGTTGGAATAGACACAAGATAGTCTTTTCCCAACCCACTTTCCCTTCTCTAATACCTCTTTCTCCCATTTACTCTGCCCCTCCCTCTTTCACGTACCTGGCCAAGGAACAGGAAGACGAGCACTGAAGTTGTTAATAATACGATGAATACTATCGTCATCAGAACGGAATACTGAAGAAAAAAACCGAGATTACCAAATATTATAGAAGTTAACTATGACTATCACTTTAACTGGTTCGTAGAGATTTTGAGAAACGTGTTTTCGGGGAATATTACATTTCTTTGTCTGTTTTCTTTTTTTACTTACACTGGCTAGCATGACCTTGCTTTCTTTAGCAGCACCTACACAGCCACAAAGTGAGATGACCGCGATAGAAGCTCCTCCTGCAATGGCGACATAGGCCGCGATATGATACAGTTCATTCCCCAGGACTCCAGACAGTTCTTTGGGTCCATAGTCTGATACTAGAATATACACTCCTAGAGCGGCACAGGCTGATCCCGCTAGCTGTACAAAATATGTTCCATTAATAGGAGAAGGAAAGAAGTCACGTGATTATCAGCTCAAAAAAAGCATACACGAACACTCCTTCTTTACAAAAATTGCTACTTTGAAAATATTTAAAAATTAATTTGTATTTAACGCAATTTCAATGGGAAAAAGGGAATTTTTTTGCAGGAAAAGGGATAATAATATAATATATACTTCACTGACAAAATTCTCCAATTTAAAGTTTTTGAAATTCGGCGATTACAATGATGTTTGTTTTATAAATCGTTGAAAATAAAAACAAGGTTACAAATGGTTTACTGTAAAATCCCTTGACTACACCACATGTGATTAAATCCTTGTTTTGGAAAAAGGGGGTTAAAAATATGAAATTGTAACATTTGTATCCAACATTTCTTCGTTTTTGTTTGAATGTTGAGAAAGAAGAAAAAACATACAAACACCAGTAGGTTGAATATCAAAGATCCAGATTTCAGAAAGCTCATTGAACTTGACATCTCAAAAACCTGTAAAAGAATTGTTTAAGACGCTTCATATAAATGCAGAACAAATCTTATTACCTGGCTCTATTTTTCTCAGCTTGTCAAACAAAATACTATGAATGATGTGTCTTTATTATGCAGCGTAATCGTTTTACCCAGTGGATCAGTGCATGATTGCGCAACACAAGGAAGTGATCAAGAGCTAGAAGGAAGCTTAGTATGCAACAGTAATGACACATTTATAAAAAATTTCTTTTTATGATAAACTTACTACAATTTATGTTCTTTAGCGTTTAAATGAAATGATCTTCAAAAATCAACTTAAAGTCTTAATTACCGGTAATTTTCGAATCCATTTTTTTTAATCTAAAAGATTGATTTTATAAATACATGTATATAAAATGTATAGTGAGTTTGTATTCAAACCATTGATTATTTGTTTTGAGATGATACGAAAGATATTAAACATGCTTTATGATTAATTATTTTTTTACTTAAAAATATACATATTTAAATGTAATTATAGTTAAAAATGCCAATTTGAAGAAATTTTTTTCACTCTGAAGAAATAGCCTTTGCTACCTTACCTTTTGAGCAATATTCCACACTATACTGGTTTTTTTTTTGTCTGTGTGACGTCAGCATGTTACGCTTTCGTCCCCTGCGGCCCCTCTCTACACCTAGGTAATTATGTCAGGTAAGGATACACCCGAATATGTAACATTCTACACAGGATAAAATTATATGTATCAACAAAAACATTGACGAAAGCTGTATAAGAATAGAATACCAACTGTCTAGTGACAGTTTTTCTATAACTCTACAGGGACCAGACGCCCTAAGCGAAATACCCCTTTAGGCCCGTAAGAAGGGAAAGGGGGAGGGGATCGTCACAAAACATTTTTGAGAGGGCACAACCGCCTATTAGCTTTTCCCCCATAGGTATATCGTGAAAAAAAATATTGAAAAATATAGAAAAGTGTCTAGTTGCATAATTAAGGGGGGACCATCTCCACCCCCGGAATCTTGCGGGCCTACCGTTACAACGGATTATAGTATCGATGAAGAGGGGTGTATCGCGTCTGGGCTATAAGACACATGCTTTAGGTTTTTACGATCAGATTAAGTCATAAAATTCAGCAGTGTTTCCGATTCCAACTATACACCTTTTTTGTTTTGTTTGCTTATTTCTTTTTCTTATTTTTGTTTGCTTGGGGTTGTTTGTTTTTTGTGTTTATTTGTTTTTATTATTCATTTATTATTTTTTGTAAAATTACTAATTTTTACTTAAATGATTCAACTTTTGTTGATTTAAAAGAATTGCATATTTGGTGTAGAAAATATTTTAAACAGCTTGTTGCTGTAATCCATATTGATGTTTTATATCCATGTTTATGCAAGTAAATCCGTTTTGTAAAGTAAAACATATGGTCATTATTCAATTAAAATATTTCGGATTACTGAGAAGGGAAGCTTTGGAATTTGGCTTCTGGGTTGCAGTGTCTTCTGCATATACGTGCACCTTTGCACCAAAGTAAACACTAAGAAAGATGAGTACTTAACAAGAGGCCCAGGGGCCACATCGCTCACCTGAGCAATATGGCTAGGAAAAAGCAGAAATCAGTTCAGTCTTGAAAGGTTAAAAAATTTAAATATAAAAGTGATGTGGGGGAGGGGTGATTTGAACTAAGTTGAATCTATACTTCATAGGGATGCTTTTGAATTAATATGACAGATAATGGCTTTGCTGTTCTTAAGAAGAAATTTTTTATTGATATATCCTTTGTATAACTATGATCCCCTGTTATGGCTCCTCTATTCTCCTGGGGGGTCATGAATTGAACAAATTTGAATCTACATTACCTGAGGATGCTTCCATTAAATATGACCAATCATGGCTTTGCTGTTCTTGAGAAGAAGATTTTTAAAGATTTTTCCTATGTATTCCTATATAAAACTTTGATTACCCATTGTGGCCCCTCCCTACCCCCGGGGGTCATGATTTGAACAAACTTGAATCTACACTATCTGAGGATGCTTCCATATACTGTAAATATGACCAATCATGGTTTTGCTGTTCTTCAGAAGAAGATTTTTAAAGATTTTTCCTATATATTCCTATGTAAAACTTTGATTGCCCATTGTGACCCAACCCTATCCCCGGGGGTCATGATTTGAACAAGTTTGAATCTACATTACCTGAGGATGCTTCCATTTAAATATGACCAATCACGGCTTTGCTGTTCTTGAGAAGAAGATTTTCAAAAAAATTTTCTATGTATTCCTTTGTGAAACTTTGATCGCCCATTGTGGCCCCACCCTACCCCTGGGGGTCATGATTTGAACAAATATGAATGTACACTACCGGAGGATGCTTTCACATGAATATGACCAATCATGGCTTTGCTGTTCTTGAGAAGAAGATTTTTTGAAGATTTTTCCTGTATATGATATTCCTATGTAAAACTTTGATCACCCATTGTTGCCCCTCCCTACCCCCGGGGTCATGATCTACACTACCGTAGGATGCTTCTATATAAATATGACCAATCATGGCTTTGCTGTTCTTGAGAAGAAGATTTTTCCTATATATTCCTATGTAAAACTTTGATCGCCCATTGTGGCCCCACCTTACCCCGGGGGTCATGATTTGAACAAATTTGAATCTACACTACATGTACCTGAGGATGCTTCCATATAAGTTTCATGTTTTCAAGCACAGTGGTTCTTGAGAAGAAGATTTTTTAAATGATGCCATCAATTTTTCACGAATTCATAATTATCTCCCCGTGGATGAAGGTGTGGCCCTTCATTTAAACACATTTGAATCCCCTTTACCTAAGGATACTTTGTGGCAAGTTTGGTTGAAATTGGCCTAGTGGTTCTTGAGAAGAAGATGAAAATGTGAAAAGTTAACAATGACGACAACGATGACAGACAACGGACAAATTTCGATCAGAAAAGTTCACTTGAGCCTTCGGCTCAGGTGAGCTAAAAAGGGCAAAGTGATGTATGCGCTACTCGTCTAAAGGTCAGACGTTTGGTATCTCAAAACAGAATTGGGATTTGAAAAATATCTAAATACACGACCTAAAAAATTAAAGTAATTTAAATAAATGATAAAATTTTAGGACAATATGCATCGTCTTCTAGTTGAGACTGCATGGGAAATGGTGCGGAATTCCCAAAAATGGCTGAGAGAATGTCATATACATGTATTTGTAATAATGGGCAATTTGTAGACGAGTATAATAACGTACCGGAGTGTTAACTTTTTTTCAGAATATTGTAATAGTCCATATTTTAACAAATTTTCAGAATTATTGTTGACTCTTGACTCCATTGAATTAATTAAACTGTGAACAGTTACATATACTAGTATCTAAAAGTATAAACAAGTCTATCCTCCATATTAATACCCCTTTTTGACTTGTACGTTAACAAATCATGCATATATTATTGTATCTATGCTATGTCCCCTGCGGGACCATGATTGGTAAATAAATCTTACATTATTCTGTATGCAGGCCCGTAGGAAGCAATTTCAGTTGGGGGTGCAAACAAACATTTTCGGGGGGAGGGGTACTACAACGCAAAACTTCCTTCACAAACAAAAAAGGAAACAGACGTTAGTACTAGGGATGTCAATTTTGTCAATAATTCATATTCGAATATTCAATGAAAGTATTCGAATATATTCGAATATTCGATAAAATAAATAAAATCTGTTTTATTTTAAATATACATCATGAAAGCGTAGGTATACTTATATTGGAAGTAAAATTGTGTGAAGTGAAGACTTGTAGGTGTACAATAAGAAATTTCATTTGATATTTGTCAATGTTTGAAATAAATAATTGATTTAAATGAAGAAAAGTATAATTTTAACAAATGAAACATGTGTATTTATAGTAACTCCAACTGAGGAACCAGTCATCTTACAAAAGGCAAGATAGTCGTAACGGTATACTAGCTGTTCAGATTTCAATGTGTGTAATTAATTACAATTATCTGCCTAATAAGCGATATGATTATAATCTTTGATACATTGTAAACAAATATTTCCATAGACAGTTTTCCTAGGTAATTAACTAATTTCCCGATAATGAATATAAAATTCAGGATTATGTACAACCCGAGATAATCAAGTAATTTACACATTTATTCTGAAATTAAGCCCTTTACAATATTAATTACAGACCAATTCTATCGGACATCCATTCAAAGATCAATTAATACATACTCTTCACGCCTTCTAGACATTCTAAGATTTCATTTTGTTGTCTTCGATTCTAGATCTGATCATATCTAACTAAAAAACTATGAAAGTATATATATTTGTATTATACATAAAGCATTATTGTACATTTTTTAAACACCTTACTCAAAACAAGATACATGTAATTTAGTAGATCTATAAGATAAGAAAGTAGTGAAAGACATCAGGCGATCGAAATTGATCGCTAGTAAATTAAACAGGGATAATCCCAGCACTGTTCTAATCAAAATTTATTAATCACAGTACTTCTTTTTTATGAAATCTGAAAAAACACCGAATATTCGAATCTTAAATTCATATTCGAATATCAACTCATCGAATGAATATTCGAATATTCGTTGCCATCCCTAGTTAGTATATGTATCGATATCGATGGGGCTAAAATGCCCCTCTTTACTACGCCCATGGTAGGTATTTCCCCCAAAGTCACGTGTACTTTGTATATTTTCTTTTATATATTGTATAAAGAAGTGATTGATGGATTAAAATTGAACAAGAAGCTAACTTGAACTTCGAAAAGAAGACGAACTTGGTCAAGAAGATCTGCCAGAAATCCTAGAGGCGGACTTGATCATCAACTAATCAAGATAGATTCACATACATTTTCCAGAAATCAGCCCAATATGTGCAAGCGTCTAGAAAAAAAGTCCAGAAAACTAAGTACAAAGGACCGACTGACGGACAGGAAACATCTTATCTTCACCGGTAGGGTCTAATAATAAATGACATTAAAAATTAATTGAAAA